CAAAACTTCTAGAATTATGGGTCTATAAATCTTTCCTTCAAATCATTCTAAACTTTCCAAGCCGCAATGTCAAAATTCACAAAGAATAATTATACCTACCAATTCTGTAACAAAAAGAACCCAGAAATATTTTGGAAAAAAAAAGAAGGGAAAAAGTGTAAAATTAATTTTCTAGAGAAAACATGCATATTCTGAGACAATTACATGGGAAAAACTCTTACTATGAAAAAATTAAAAAGACATTTTTAATTAGATACATAGCTAATTTTGTTTTGCTAAGAGCTGTTTCGTAAATTGTGCTTTATAGCATTATATCTTGTTTATTTTTCAGATTCAAAATATTGTATTATAAGTTGTCGAAATAAAACTTTATAATAGAATAGTGAAAAATAAAAATGGGTACATTTCCATTTTGCTGGCGCAGGCAATAAAGTCACCAATAAAGCTTAGTTCAGATGGGGGCGTAAAGGGCATAAATTGTTAAAGCCGAGCTCTGTTGCCAAGGCAACCAGTCTGTGCTATGTCACAAAATCTGATTTAGTGCTCCTGACATAGGGTTCAAAGTTTTCAACTTTACGCTGAGCTTGAAATAAGCGTCGACCAATCAGAGCGAAGCTAAAACGAAGCGGCATTCTACAGAAGATTTCGCTGTCACAAAGCAACCAAAGCAAACGCGGGAAATCAATCTAGCAGGAGAACAGTGCGGGAAAGTTGTAGACACATCCACACATGCGCAAATTTAGCTTCTCTCATTGGCCACAGCTTACACCCTGTTCTCGCAAGTGTGAACGGAATTCCTGTATTTTATGCCCTTATGACTACACCTTATGTCACCGTCTGAATGAAGCCTAATAGTACAACCAAAGCCAAAGGGAATATCCTCACTGGTAACCTTTTACGCCTTATTTTCAAAACAAGTCGCATCCATTTCTTATCAGATTGATTGTTTCTTTCAACACAGGCATACAATTACATTGAATTGTTACCAGACAGTTCAATTTTATGCCTTAAGGCAATTCGTGGAAATTAAGCCAGTTACGATGCAATCATACCGCTCACCCGAAGGGGAAAATATATAAAAGGCAAAGTCAAGGGTTAAATTCATGAATTCTAATGAGAATGCACTAGCAAAGTAAAGCACTGCAGTTTTACATAATTTCTGAGTAAGCTATTCATACGAATTGAAATAATTTTTGGATTTAAACTGTAATTAATGTAGATAATTAGATTTTTGTAGCATAGTTTACATGAGATGATTTGAGTCACGTGATATGAACCGGCGAATTAGAATGTTGAACCACGAAAGCAATGTAAATTCTTAAATTAATGTATTTTTACAAATTTGTCTTTATTTATTGGCTTTTTACAAAATTTTAAATGATATTAAAATGTTTATGCCTTCAAAATAAAAAATTCGTAGAACTAACATTTGTTAACATTTTTTTATGTGTATACTGTATGTTGTTGCCAATAAAGTCTGCTTGGCGAGATTTGCGCCGGCAAAATGGAAAAGTACCTAAAAATTTTTATTTTAATACTATTTTTAAACATAATTTCAATATATTACCATTATATTAATGAAATTTATCAACGTTACGATGTTTTAAAAAAAGTTGTAAAAAAATTCTCAGATCTCGGAATTAAAAATTTTCTATAGAAATTTATCTTCAAGCCGCCAAAATGTTGATAAATCGCCAAATTTAGTTACATCCCCAAAAGCAAAAAGTTGTTTAAGGAGCTCTTTATTAGAAAAAATGAATTTTGAAATGCTTATACAGTCAAAAGTCGTTAATCTGGACTCGTCGGGACTTAAATCTGGTAAGATGGCATGCAGAAATTATAAAATTAAAAATATGAAACCGTAATTTATGAAATAAAGAACAATTATGATCTAAAGGGTATCAAAATTTACAAAAAAAAAAAAAAAAGCTTAATATTTATTTGTTTACTTTATTAAACATTTCTTTCAATGTAAGTTGTTTAAGTTGCTCTGTTTTATGTGATAATACTTTCTCTTTAATTCTATAAACAGACATAATTTCTTGTTTAGTTACAAAGTTCCGCTGTTCAAGTCCTATAATTGCTGTGTCGAGAATACTGACTAATTTGTCATTCGAAATTTTTTCGTTTTCAATAACCTCTGTGTCACTTTCTTCACTATCGGAAGCAAATTATAATGACGAGGAATTTGATTTAAATCATATCAAAGATGGAATACATTGAGATGAAATACTATATTTAGTAAGGAATTATAAGCCAAATAAAATGAAAACATCTGCCCTGAAGATAAGGATAGTGCTGACAGATAAACTTCTAATTCATTGCGCGCCGCGGCGTCCCCCTCCCGTGCAGCGTGAAATTGATAAACAGATTTCGGAATGGTTAGGTCATTTTTTGCAGCAATTCCACTTTTATTTAATGGACTTTGAAACATACTTTCGCTTTGTAGATCCTTTACATATTAGTAAATATATATCGGAAATTCTATTTGACATAATCGAAAGTTCAAGCTTACTTTTATAAAATTGCTCTAACAGTCTGCAAAAAATAATAAGCCGGATCCAATTCGAAGGTTAAGGAACAACGCAATCTGCAACATTAACTGAATTAGAGAATTTTAGCTTAGCTCATACCGTCCGTTATACATGAAACGCGCATGCATAAACGTATTTTGAGCATGCGTACATGCATATTCGCAGCCGTACAGGTCTTACGCGCATGCGTCAATGCGACGCATGCTCAGAAAGTTTGTAACTTTGAGGTCCGGATTATAGATCATTCCGGATTATGGGTGTCCGTATTAACAACTTTTGACTATATTTCATTTCTTGCTCAGAAACTCGAGTATCCCATCATTTATATTAGAAAAAGAAACAAATTATAACCCATCAACCCATTCAAAAGATAACCATATATGTCAATGAATCACCAAAAATATTCCTCCAAAATGCTAATTTGCACTCAAAATGGAAGTAAAAACAGACAAAAATTTCAGATGATTAAAATTAAGGACCTTCTGCTGATTTTGGCCAAAATTAAGGACTTTTAAGAACCAAAAATCGATTCCAAAAAGTCTAAGGAATTTTAAGGATTCTTAAGGACTGTACGAACCCTGTTTAGAGGAATTTACTGTTCTTACAAAATTACAATTATAATAATATGAGAACTCCATTAAGAAAAAGTATATGAAAGAAAAATAAAGAATATTTAAATAATATGAATGCTATATAATAACATAGTCTAAGCAAAATGAAGTATAATGAATAAATAAAGAATAGCATACAAATAATGCAGCAATAAGTAAAATAAGATAAAAGAAAAATAAAGGATTAAGAAAAACATAAAATGTTATAAAATGGCAAAATATAAGTACAGTAAAATATAATAAATATTAACAATAAAAAACTAAAATGATAATGAAATATCAAATAATGTATAAGATCAAAGAAAAGTAATAAAATACTAAATTAAATAAAAGATTTATAATAATAAAAATAAAAAATGAGAACTCGAGTAAAGGCGCTATGTAAAGATTAACACCTGTTGTGGCTTCCAAATACTGATAATGTGTCACTTATGATCTGTGAGGTAAATTGTCATCACCAGAATATCTAACCATCAAACAGGCAAGTAGAGAATTAAAACATTAAGTTTATTCTACTTCACAACTTGTCAGTGCTTAAATTAAAATAGACAAACACAATTTACCCGCCAACCTGGAGATAGTTTAAAACTCAAAGCTTCCTTTCACAAAGGAATAAATTAAACCACTTACGTTAATGCATTTATTTATGTTAATTAAATGCATTAACCTAAATAAATACAACAGATTAAATCTAATTTGACTAAAGACTACAATATTGCATAGACTTTGACAGAATTTCAAATAAATACTTAACTAAATAGGATCTAACCTCAATCTCAAAGTATTTCCAGCAACACCAGCATTAGTGTCAACTGTTTTCTTTGACAGGCAAGACAGCAGAACACAGGCCAAACACTAACACTCATTCATAAATCTTTAAACTTTATAGTAAATCTGCTTGCCTCTTAAATCTGCATAAATTCTGGAATAATTAAACCTCATGGCAAAAAGGGTAGAGAGAACAGAAGTAAATTAACATTCCATTAGTAAAACTTTAACATAAATGCCACAAAGTAGATTCTCTTGCATAATAATTCTGATGTTTGGAAGGCTATAAATGGAATGCTATCTGCTATTTGGCAAGTAAAAAGAGCTAGGGAGTAAATGGGATTATATGCCAGTCAAGCCAATTAAATGTTCAATTTGTTTGGAAAAAAGTTTCAAATTTAGACTTTCTTTATAGAACACTTAAAATATGTTACACTGATATATGCAAGATTATCTTATATGCAAAGATTTGGCTAAACCTCTTTAAATTACGGTTGGCATTGTCTTATGTTCAGGCAATCTATTAGTACCATCTTATTTCATAAAGCATTTGCCTTTTATTCATACGAGAAGAGATTTGTAATTCATTCAATCCTAAAACACTTTTTTGTTTTTGTTTTCTATTTTGAAAGCAATATTCTTATCCTTTTAATAGAAATTTTTGCTGTCTCGCTCTGAAGATCCATCCTGACTAGCAGATTACACACTTAACATTCCTGAAGCAGTATCCCACTGCATCAGGAATTACGTTAAATGTTTACCTTTTTTTTTTTTTTTTTTTATTAATGAAAAAAAAATTGTATTAGGGGCTAATTGTCTGTGCGTAAAGTTATTTCTTCCGCAAACAAACAAAAAAAAAATTATGCACCGAATCTCAAAGGGACTGGAAATAGTCCCTTTGAGAAAGACTTAAAAAGACTGGAAATAGAGAATTTACTTATCAAGTTATTCAACATTTTGAAAACAAACACCTCTGGGAATTCAAAAATATTCAAATCTAGAAATATATATCTCTTTAAAATAGAAAATAAATTCAGCAAAAAATGCCAAATTTATATTACTATATAATAATTAAAAACATAATTACCTTCCCAAGTAAGCGATTTGATCTTCTAAGTGCTTCACTAGAAAGGATTAATGATTTATTTCGTGGCTTCTTGGGAGTTTTGTGCTTGACAGTATCAGGAGTAGATTCAGATTTGTGGAAATGTGAATTTTCTCTCTGAAATTTATAAAAGGGCATATTTTATTTGCAGTCACACATTTTATTGCATTTCGAAACATGTTCTAGAAAGAAATTTCTAGAATATCAGCAATTGCTGTTTATCTGCTATTCACCAGTAGTAAACTATAAGCAATGTATCGGTGCTTTCTGGCAATGAAGTCAAGTTTTCTGACTTTCAGCAGATATTTTTTAAGAAATCATATTCAAAATGGTATAAACAGACTGTTATTCTCAGTAACCTATTTCTGTCTAATAAGAATTCTGATAAGTAAGAAGACAAGCTATATCACATTGCTGCTTATTCTTTTATAAAAGATAGCACATTAACAAGAAAAAGAAATAAATATCACATATTTTTAGAAGAATCCAGGACACTCTTATGTCCTGGATTCTTCTGGATGTTATTGGGGGACTGGTTTTAGAAATGCATATATGTATGTTCACACACATATATATGTATGTACATATATACATGCATAGATGTACACACATATATATGTATGTGCATGTATACATGCATACATGTACACACACATGCATACATATATAAAATTTTTAATACAGTCCCGATAACATAAGAGGGTGCTTTTCTGTTATCGGGACTGGATTTAGAAATGTATGAACATGTGTATGTGTATTTGTATACACACACATACATTCACACTTACATATATACATGCAAACATGAACACATACATGCATACATTTCTGAATCCAGTCCCGCCCCCCCTCCCTGACAACAGAACAGTACCCAGAATATTGAATCCAGAATAGCTTCTAGAGCTGTTAAATGCTTGCAATGATAAGTCTTTGGTGGTATTTTGGGCTCATATCAAAGTGTGCCAGATAACCAAAGACTGATTCCTGTTTAGCGAAAAACTAAAGAATTTTAACTAATTGCATAAACAAAAATTATTTTTTACTTATAAATAATGTTTTCTGTTTCTTTAGGAAATCAATTAAAATTCAAATAGTTTTTATTTTAAACTAATTTGCAAATCTAAGTCTATATCATTTAGACTATTTTTAAATATCAAGATATCTTGATATATGTGAAAATTTTGAATCTTAGATTATGAAATAATGGTTTATGTTTCAGTGGTGTTTAATTTTTTATTTAAGTTACAAAAATATCAAATACTAATTTAATTCAAAAAAGAGAAAATGATTTTATTATTGCTAAAATTTTACAAGAGTACCACATCTTTATGATCTATTTTTCATAATAAATTATGAAGCAAAAGGTTAGGGACAAGCTAGTATATCTTATTTAAATTTTACTTACAAGCAAGGCTCAATATAATTTAAAAAATCCATTAGCCCCAAAAAAATTCTCGTTGCCCCCCTTGCCGACACCCCCAAAATTAATAAAAACATACCAGTAACTAGTCATTGCAGCACTATTAGCTTTTTACACTGTCTCTCAGCTACATTATCTTCATCCAACTTATGTTTAAGATGAGACACTCTTTGGTTGCACTGCTAATGCATCTTGATGTTTTGCTTTTGAAAAACCAAGAGTCTATAGCTCTTTGAGACAGAAGGTCCATTGAGTTTAATCATCATAAGGTTACTGAGTATCACATTGTCTATGCATGTTCTAAAATTAATCTTAATGATATTCATTTGGCTAAAACCTTATTCACAAGATGTTGTAAAAGTTGGCAAAACTGTGAATATTGACAATAATTGGCTGAGAAGATCAAATCTTTCTTTGTGTGAATTTGCTTCATTCAGAAAGCAATTCATGTATTTCTGCACCCTGTTCTAAATCTTTAAACTCATGCCATTCATTGTGCAAAGGTTTCAAGTTTTGCTCTGTAGAAGACTAGGTTTCAAATTCATCCTTTCCATAACTTTCGAAATTATCATAAGGCTACATAAAAATGTCAGAGACAGCACTTGCCTTTATAATACTCCCATCTTATTCTAGAAAATGTTTTTTTAAGTACTTTACTACAAGTGAAATTATTTTCTCCTTGTCTAAATCAAAAATGTTGATATCAGTATTTGGAAGCTGAATCTTTCTTAACTTCTCACTAACAGTAGTTAAACCGACAAAATGTTGCTGATATGTGCTTGGCTTAGATTCAAGTCTTTCAACACTTAAGATTGCCTTATTAATCATGAACCTATACCCTGCTTAAAATCATGCCCTCTACTTGAAAAATCACAGAAAGCTTCTTAAATAAAGAATGAAAATTTAGCAAGAAATGTACATTAAGACAAATTGAAAGTTTTTCATTTGCTTCAAAGATTCTCTGGCCACAACAGCAAGTTTTTCTTTTCAGTTTGACTCATCTTTTAAATGAACAACCACTATATCCTAATTGTTTAATAGAGCAAGAAAAGCACTAACTTTACTTGATACATATCACATGAAATGTAAATATTTGAATTTCAGGAGTTTTGATTGCAAGAGCTGAGCAACTTTGCCCAGTTACCCTAGTCTTTTTGGAGAACAAAATTTATACAGTTAATCCAGATATTTTTTGTCTTTTATTGTGTCCAACACACTTAAATTTAACGTTTGTGGAATTCAGTGATGTGCATCAAGCTCCTTTATGTCCTTTTCAATGCGTGACGGCTAGTCCATTTTCTTTTCCGAACATGTTTGCAGCCCCATCTGTTCCAAGCTCTAACTATCCAGTTCCTGCCCTGCCAAATGATTCCTAGCTTTTGTAATTCATAATCTTAAGTTTTGTAATAACCTAATGCACAAGGTAAGTCAATAAGTGCAACTGAAATGAAAAACTCTTATAGTCTTATGTTTTATATTCCTAACACATATTATTGGTTCTTCCCTGTAGATTTATCAGTTGACACATTGAAAAGAAAGCTAACAGAACTATAGACTAAAATTTCTGCAACAACCTCCTTACAGATAACAGCTGCAATATTAGAAATAAATTCTCGACATTGTTGTCATTTTGATATTCATGGAGAATAATGCCTACTTCAAATTTATTACAGTTTAACCAAATTTTTAAGATCAGAAGATGACTTATTGTGCTTTGCAATGTAATAAGCTGTGTTAAATAGTTTTTCTAAGTGCTGAAATAGTTTTGCATCCATTTTTATTTGACACACTGCTAATGGTGTGGACTCTGGAGCTTCTATATCATTCAGCATGCAATCTTTATGCATTTGTGATCAATTGTAAAACTAGAAAGTTTCTAATTTCAATGACCCACTGAAACCTTGTACAACCCACAAGCATTTATCTTCTATTTCCAAATACTTTATGCACACTCTGAACCGAGCAATACTATTTTCATATGAGAACTACTGCCTCTTGCTTTCTTCATCTTTTTTAGCACCCTCATAATTGATACCAGTATCACTTCCTTTATGTTCACTTTGTTCATTTAGCCAGTCTGATCAGAACATACATGGCTGAATCACACATCACACAAAAGACTTATGTGACAAATCCATTATCTTCAAATATAACAAGATAATTTTTTTGAATTTCAGGCCATGATCAGTTGGGGGGGGGCAATTGTATAAATTCAAACAAACAAACATGTTTATCACAGCTCAATCAATACCATATGGTATACCAGTTACAACAATGCCAAAAGTATTGCACACATGCATATTTCAACATTAGTTTCATGCAGCAAAATAAGCACTTAATATTTCAACAAACAGGATTTGGTAAAAAATTTCAAAGAAATACTTGACAACCATGTGTAATCATTATGAGACAATGGTACACAAATTATAAAACGACTTTCTTTTTTAACTTCTTTTCTGTGCTGACAAGCACCAATTAGAATGCAATTAAAAATCTTGTAAGCAAAGTTTCAACTGAGAACCCTTTCATTAAGCACTTTATGGCACGATGAACCTTAAGCCATGTAATATAGAAATTTATTTTATATCAGAGACAAAAAGTATAGCATCAATATAAACAGAACATAGGCTGTTATTAAAAAAAAAGTCCAAAGGAAGAATTAACCATGCATTTCTCAGGTTATCACAACTCACTTGCCATCTGCAATTTCTTAGTAGCCAATGACAAGCTGGCAACTGTTATTTTGAGCCCTGCTAATAAGAACTTCTGACATGTCAACAATATACTACCAGATGATTACTTTGCATTGCATGGAAACAGTTGGATAAATTTCGGTTATTTTCCCTAAATTCAAGTTAATTTTTCCAAAAGACAAATTTATATCTCCAATGTTTTGTAAAGCAGATATGCATATTACATTTGTTAAAGGTGTAAATATAAAACTTCCTTTGAAACAATTTGTTAATCGAATAAGTAAAATAAGTAATTCGGTAAAGCATAAAATGACTATGTACTTACAGGGAGGGATTCTTTTATGGAAAACCTTCTCAAGAGCACCATTCAAAAATTATAATACATAAAGAGAAACACACATGAGTAGTCAACCTATCCACCGCCATTTGAAATGCAAGTTGAACTGCTGATGTTCAATGGTCTTATCTGCTTGCCTACTGATGGGACTCTCATTTCAGATACAGATGCAACAAGTTTTACTAGCAATTGAGATTTTGAGAAAAAAAAAAAAAAAAAGAAAAGAAAAGAAAAAGAAGAAGAAGAGATCAATGTTTTAAAAAGCATCTTTAACAATAATGTAAGTAAATTAAAAGCCTTAAATTATCATTTATATATAAGTAGATACCTAACCAATATCAGAAATAAAAGTACAAATTAATCATTACAAACTTGTGACATGAAATTACAGAGGGCGTTTACATACTTCTAGAATGATTTCAGGGCTGTTTAATTAAATGTAAAGAATACTTTTTTTTAAATGTTCCATCTGATAGCCTTTTCTTTTGACTATAAGTCTGCACTGTGATTTCATGCTAGGGAGTCTTCCATGATATAAGAGCTTTTCATAAAATATTTAGAGATCTTGATTTCCACTACTTCCCAAAATCCATCAATCATGGTAAGATTGCAGTAGAAGATGCTTCCTCCAGAAACCTCTTTCTATGAGACCAAAAACACAATATTTCATTGGTGAAAAGCCAGGGAACTTCACAGGAATACATTGAAAAGATATATGAGCAACACATTCATTTTTCAAGGAATGCAATGGTACTTTTCAAAGTACAACTTGTTACTTGATGTTGATAAAGTTTCACTCTGTGAAAGTCATTGGGATAAAGGAATGGAATTTCTTCTGCAAATATCAGACATAAAACTTTCTCTTGACAGTACATGAGTTGATTTTCACAATTTTTCCCACTCTTCCTATTTTAAATTTCTCATAGTAAGAGAATCCTGCAAAAATCATAAACCCCTTACTAAACCTTTCTTTGCATTGTAAAATCCTCTGTATACGCTAGCAAAGAATTTGTTTTTATACTTTCAGTTCAACCTTTATTTCACAGTGGCATTCATATACAATAAGAATCAAACAAAGGCTCAGTTGAAGAAATAGCTCTTAAAAAATATTTAACACTTAAGAGAAGTTGTAATAATGATATTTAATAAAGTTTCAGTGTTACTGTTAAATAGACTAACTTTGATATACACTTAAACAATAAAAACTGTTGAAAAATGCAATAGAAATTATATATCTCATCCTTATTAATAACAGTTAATTTGGCTAGGTATATATATATAAAGAGAGAGAGAGAGAACTTTGGCCTTAATTCATGACATTTTTCAAAATAATTCTAAAATTTTAAGTTTAAAAAAAGTAACAACTTAGTTGTGAACTTATTTTATTATCGTATATACTTTAAAAACTTTTAAATGGGTGGAAAAGTATTTTGCATAATAGTTGCACGAAAATAGAAGATACATAAATAATACTTCAAATATATTACGTAAAGTAGGAAATATTACAGTGGTATATAAAAACATTAAGTGTGTATATGTAGTTTACCACATTAAGTATTCCCAGTGATTTCAATAATTCTCTGTTTTCTGCCCTACGTTTTTTCACGTGTTCCTCATATGATTCCTGCATAATTACGCACATACAATGCAGTATTAAATAACCGTAAGCGGTAATTATAGGATGAAATCTTGAAATTGGCGCATTTCTAATTTACCGAGTTGCGGTCATAGTCTCACAAGTTGCCGATCCAAAAATTATTCAAAATAACTCAAGCGACAACGACATAAGTATTGTTATACCTAAAAGTTATTAAAAGTGAAAGAAGTGCAAGTAAGTTTATGCAAATAATCACTGTGGGCAGGACTTTCTCGAAATTTTCATAACAGTGAAGCAGAGAACACTGCTTCATTCATCTCCCCTCGGTAGAGTGTAAGGATAGCCCTAGTAGAGTGTACAACGTGAATTTCCATAATTTTAAGCACATTCTTTAAATTAGTAGTCAAATACTGATACACAAACATGAAAATAACGTTGCACTTGAGATTGGTTTCTACAGTCTCCGAATAACATCCGTTTCTAATTTAACATAAAATTTCAACGCATCTTTTCTTTTATGTTAGCATTAAAAATTTCATACTCAATTACATGTTTATTGTTCACTTTATGAATACTGTTGACATATTTCATGACTAGTTTTGCTTTACATTCATAAAAGTTTTTGTTAATAAGATTCTTCATGAATGGAGATATTTCTGATAAATCATTTGTTCCTGATGATTTGTATTCATTTAATATTCTGGAAAATGCGCAGACATTTTACAGACATAACCCTGGACGGGGTCAAAATAGGTGCAGTGTAGTCTTAAAAATGTATAACTTATTGCTGGTAGAACTTAATAAATGGGTAATTTATTATATTTAAAATTTAAGTGAGGTTTGCTCATGAGCCAGGAAATGCAAAATACAAAAAATACACATTAAAGTTATGATCTATTCGTAACATCCTCCCATCTTTTGATTATAAATTATAATTAAAATATAAAGTTGCCACCCCAAACAGCACACTTAGTTACTCAGACGTTGTAGTGACCTGTCAATGTAGCATTTCCTTCACATTACATTTGTGACCTCGATACAACGTCGCAGAAATGTCGCATTATGATGTGGATGTGAATGTCGTACGGATCTCACATACACGTCACAGCAAACGTTTCATGTGACGACAAGAAACTCGCAGTCTTCTCAAAGAATATGTATAGACTTTCTTTGGTCTCTTCCCCACCCTAACCTTTCTTGACCTTGCTCAAATAAGTCTTCTTTAATGGAAGGTTCATTCACCCAAAAGCGGTACGGTTCTGTGTTGTACAGATTCATTTAGATTAAATTAATAACTTTTTGAAAGTATCCATTGTAACATTTGATATCTTCATACTATTTAAATTAAATAAAAAACTGAATCGTGTTTATATTAAAGAATAGCAAGAATGCCTATATGTAATGTTACCTCATATTTACATCAAAACACATTTTCCGAATCCTCATCTTTGCTCTGAAAAATTGTATTAAAATAATTCCAAATAGTCCGATTTCATTGTATGTTTGCAGAAATTTGTGGATAGCAAAAAATCTTCATCGATTTTTCTCGCGCTTCTATATCTTCTATATCTATATATTCATCTTTGGTATTTTTCTAGTCGATAATCATTTCATTCTTAATAATAATTTTTTAATTTATTTTCAATTATTATATATTAATTATTACTGCTATTATTCAAGTCAGTATACAATAAGTGTTTAAACTGCCAAATCTTGGTTGGGGATAAATCATCATCCATCACCCTTTTAGTTTGGGTGCCATTGTAGAGACATTAGGTAAATTTTTTTTTTGAAGCCGGAAAGAGGAAAAATGAGCAAACGCCTTCGCCGGGAATCTAACCACGGACCTCTGGAATACCGGCCCAGCGTGCAGAACCACTACACCACGAAGGCACGTTAGGAAGCTTTCAATGTTTATAATAACTATATTATAAGGTATAAAGAAATATAGTTATCATAAACATTGTAAGCCAAAGAATATTTTTTGAAATATTTCTATTTTGAAAGAGGGGGGAGAAGGTGTTAAATTAAGAAATAAAATTAAATTTATAATTAAGTTATAATAAGAACTCATATTTTTAATACAATTTAGAAATTTTGGAAAAATATGCACTGTCTTTAAATATTAAATTCTAAAGAATGAAAGCAAAATTATGTAGCTTCTGGACAGCTTGTACTCAAAAGCATTAGCAATGTAATACGCTTAGAAAATATATATTGTAATACGTTCTGCATTTTCTGTACACTCTAGTTTACAGTTATATAACCTTAATAGGGTGAGATATAATCTCAGTAAGATGAGAAAAATTCAAATGATTATTATATTGGATATTTTCAATTATTTAAAAATTTCGAATATTACGGAAGTATTTTAATACCTTGAAAAGTATAATACCTGACTGGATCATTAAAACACTGTTGCAGTTACCTGTTCTCTAAAATAGAAGTTCATCACTCTAATCATTTAGAAAGTAATCCAGTGTTGCGTGACATTCATTTATATCTTTGGTGACATTATATTCATGGCACTTTATTATGCTGCATTCATGTCACTTTATGGCTTTATATTAAAGTCGAAATAAGTTGTTACATGAATGTCGCAGTCTGCAGTATGACTTTAGAACAATATCACAGTGTAATTTCACGACAACGTTGCAGCGCGACTACGCATCCATGTCACAGTGTGACTTGATAACAATGTCATAATGTGACTTCACATCAACTTCGCAATGTGATGTCGCAAAAAACGGACAATAAGCCATACCTACAACGTTACTGCGACATTGAGGTCGTCACAATGCGACACGTTTGCAATGCTGCAGCGACGAGCCGTGCTGTTGGGAACTTTGAGCCATTTTAAATTATTACTAGTTTTTAAAAATATATCTATATTCGATTCACAAATTAGATAAACCCCAAATAGAAGGAAACGAAATATAAAATAATACGATATTTTACTAAAATACGTATTTAAAAAAAATTATAAGTCCAGTTTTTTCTGGAATCTTAATTTTTCCACCAGACCTGCTAAATATTGGTTTGTCGTCATGTGCACTATCTTTCTGTTTGACAGTCTGGTCTAAGAACTTGTTCGAATTCTTGGATTCCGCAGGCATAGGGCAGTCAGTAGGCGATGGTGTCTCAAGAGGTCATATTCTCTGAATAGGACGAAGTTCTTGGTGTAAAGTCTGCCCCTTTGAGAGTCGTACATTGCCGTCTTTACTAAGAAAGAGCTCAGTAATATTACTTAAGGGCTGATTTTTTTCTCATTTTATTATCAGCTCCCACCAGAATAATATCACTCAGAGCAACTACTATATGTCTCAGGTGTTTACTGTTCACTCTTTGAATGAGAGTACCTAACTATTCTGATCACAAACGATTGAGTCTTTAAGTAAAATTTGTCTGTATTTGAGTCTTTTGTATTAAATAATTTTGTTCCACAACATTTGTACAATTATGCTTAAAACGAAGAATCTAAACTATAAGTATGATTTTCTCATAATTAGAAAAATGCCTCTAGTTGTTGTTGTTGTTACTTATGCTTACTTATCTGAAAGTAACATCCGTGCCGGAATTCCTCAATGCAAGGAGCGCAAGATACGCCTGCCATCGGAAGCAGTCTTGAGCACTTTACAGATGGCAGTGCGATTTAGCTCAATTCCATCCCCAATTTTGATGGACATCATCCCGGCAAGACAGATTCCGAGGATCTCCCACCCCTCTCCCCTTCCATCAAACTACAAGAAGGGATTTTCGGCTAGTCGCACAAGAATGACACACCTACACTATATATTTATAAACATCTATGCCTTCTCCGGGATTCGAAACCTGGGCTCTTCGGCACGGCAGTCAGCGAAGTTAATTGACAGCATTCCAATCTATGTTTCGAGGTTTTTCGTTTCTTCTACTTAGTAGATTGACGGCGCATGCTATATCTGGTCTGCTGATTGTTGCAATAGATAATAATGTCCCTACTGCTTGTCTATATTTTGTATTATCCTCTAGAAGATCATCTTCAGCTTCTAGTTTGCAGTAGTTTGTTTCCATTGGCGTATATCATGGTTTTTCGTTTTGAAGGCCAAATCTTTTAACTATTTCTTCGATTTTTATTCTTTTGGTTTATGGCAAAGGTTCCAGCTTTAAATCTTTCAGTGTTTATGCCAAGGTAGTAGGTGACTTCTCTCCTAGGCTCTTGATTTCTAATTCAGCGTTTAGTTGTTAGATTGTTTTCATTACATCTTCTTCTCTTTCTTTCCTTATAAGCCTATCATCTACATATAATATTATATATGTGAATTTTCCATTCATGGTTTTGAAAAACAAGAATGGGTCTGCTTTACTTCGTTTAAATGATATGTTTAGAAGTATTTTCCCAGTTTTCAGATTCCAAGCTCTATCGGCTTTTTTAAACCATATATAGATTTTTTCAGCTTGCAAACTTTATTTTCATTTCCAGCTTTCGAGTATCCTTCAGGTTAAGTCACGTAAATTCTTTCCGTAGCGATCAGGAGGTTTACCTTTTGTGACTCTGTTCGATCTTCTGAGTTCCAAAGGTTCTTTTTTTTTTCGGGTTTTGATATTTCTTTCTTTTCGGGTTCTTCTATTTTTATTCCTCCCTTAGGAGCTCTCTTCATTATTATTTTTTCATCCTGGTTTAAAGAAACACTTACCTGCTCGTTAGTTCCTGTGTTTGAATAAATCGTACAGATCGACTTATTATGATTTTGTCTCCAGGAAATAAAATTCTATAGCCTTTACTTCTGCTGTCGTAAGCGACGAGTATTCCTTCTATAACAGTAACATCGAGTTTATCCCTTTTAGATTTATGGATGTAAGCAAAAGCCTTGCATCCGAAAGTCTTTAGATGAGATAGGTTGAGCTTCTTTTTATTCCATAATTCGTATGGAGCTTTTGCATTTGGTTTTGCAGGCATACGATTCTGTTAATAATTTGTAGTCAGCACTGCTTCCGCCCAGTATCTGTGAGGTTGACCTGAGTCAGCTAAAAGACATCTTGTCATCTCTATCAAAGATCTATTTTTGCGTCCACTGATTCCATTTTGTGCTGGACAATACGGTACAGTAAGTTGGTGATTTATACCTTGTTTTATAAGATATTCTTCAAGTTCCTTACTTGTGTATTCACCACCGTTATTACTTCTTAGCGTTTTTACTTTTCTCCCGAATTTATTGTTTGTAAGAGCAATAAATTGTTTTAGTTTAGAAATTACTTCATTTTTCTTTTTCATTAGGTAAATCATTGTGAACCTACTGTAATCATCAATAAAAGTTACGAAGTATAGGTATTCACTGACAGACGGTCCAAAAA